TGGGTTACAAAAAATAAAAATAAAACAAAAAATTCGATCATGGATTACAAAAAATTCTATCATGGGTTGCAAAAAAAAAAAAATCGATCATGGATTAAAAAAAAAAAAAAACAATTCTATCATGGATTACACACAAAAAAAAAAAAATTTGTTCTTCACAGAGCGATTTTACATAAGCCATTTTAACTAGAAAATCCACCTCTAAGTGAATAAATTATATCCAATTGAGTACATTTTCTGATAAACAACAATATAAGGAATCAAAACCCTAAATTTTTAATATATTATTTCTAATATATCATGAAAAAAAAATCAAAAGGCGGAAAAAAAAAAAAAAAACAGCAGAATTTTGGTTCCGCAGACATCTCTGTGTTCATCTCAAATTTCATGCTGTAATTGACCAAATTACATAAAATTGAAAATTTTAAATCATAGTAGACACAATAAAGATTAAAAACCCTACAAGTTGAATTCATTATCTTCAAAATATGTCGTGAAATAAATCATATGGCGGAAAAAAAAAAAACCCAAACTTCTTACCTGATTTGTGAACCGAAGCCTTCAATCTCCAAAAAACTTTGTTTTTCTCAACGATTATCACAAATTAGTAACAAAAGGTTTTGATGCACAACTTTACGATCAAAATGCCTACAAATTTTGAAAGATTCATGCCTTTTTTAGTATGAAACACAAGGAAAGGCGAAAACCCTAAAAATGCAAGTTTTGTGATCCAAAAACACCAAATTTTTCAACCATTTAATCCGTGTACAAGCTGAATAAAGCTGTTTACAGCTTGCAAATTAGATCACATGCCAAAAAAAACAAGAAAAATGATCAAAAACTGACAAATTTCGAAGAATCCCGTGAAGAACACTGTGCAACCCGTGTTCTTCACGGACTCGCCGATTCCGTACAGTGAATCGGCGAGTCACTGTGCATAATCGTCCGGTTCTCTCTAGAACCGGACGATTCCCGTTTTTTTAATCGATTCGATCCCCCCATGGCGATTCCCAAGTCGAACCGGGCGAGTCCGGTTTGACTCGGCGTTTTTTTAAACACTGGTTTTGCCACTCAGTGTGTGCCGCAAGAAGGACGACAACCCATGTCAACAGATTTGCCGTGGTCTCCTTCCCTGCAAAGTAATATGTTTCGCACTCATCCACAATTTCTTCGAGATCCAGTTTTTGATCTTCTCTCTCTTGGACTTTATTTGTAGTTAGTAGAAGGGCAAGTAGATTTCCACAGTTTTCTCTCTCCTTCCTTCTTTTGGATGAGTTTTCGAAATGCTGATCTTATTTCTCTTTCTAGTTTCCACCTCCTCCGATTCTTTTTAGTTGGCAAAAACCTACATGGGTTAGATTATATCTATTAGAATCATGTTGTAAAATAATTGAATCACATATTTCATTCATGGCTTCACATAAAAGAGCGCCAGCTTCACTAAAATAATGTAGAGATATCTTTTTTTAGGCAAACAATGAAGAGAAATCTTTATTTTCATCTCTTGAGACCAAAATTGTGACAAGCGCTATTGGGTAAAAAGGTGGAAGGAAACTAAGAAAATGTCACATGGTGTTGTAGAGAATAAACTAAGCTTATTCCCATCAATATATCAAATCAGATATATTTTGTACGAGGAGATATTTAGATTGAAGTTACTTGCGCCGTTGGGTACATGGAAATCTATTACGAAAAAAATGATATTTACATTGTTTGGGTACATTTTAATAGTAAAAAAATGTAGAAAATATGACATTTATATTGTTTGGGTACACTTTAATAGTAAGGAAATAGAAATACACTAAACAAAATTACTCGAGATTTCAAAAAAAATCACGAAATCCATTAGGCGTGGATGAAAAATCTATTACGTTTTCGTAAAAATCACTAAATGCATCACGCATGGTGATGGGTGAAAAATCTATTACGAGGTTAAAATCATTAAACTCATTACACGCGGTGATGGGTGAAAAATCTATTACGAAGTTGACGAGCAATCTTTGGAAAAAGTTTAGCTTGCATCTCTATCCCGCTCTATCCGGTTAAAAGACATTAAACATTTTCCTCTCTCACGTATACGCTTTATTGTATAATTAGTCTCTCTGCTCTATCTCGCTTAAAAAATATTTTCCTCTCAAGTATATTGTATAATTATTAAGGGAAGTAAAATGTGAAAGTAGAGGATATGAAAACGAGAATCTAAATTGATATGAACAGATGCACGACGACAATTTTCTATTCCACTCATAACATTAAATTTCTATATTCTTTTATCTTCAATTTAGGTTATACCCCTCATCTCATCTGACTCCCCTTATTAAAACAAAATTTTTTAATAATTGAAAAGAAAAAATGGGGGAAATCTAAATTGATTTGAACAGTTGTATATGGGATAAAGAAAAAAAATTCTACTTCCTCTATCCCCAATTTGGGTTGTAGCCCGCCATCAACTCTAGTATAAAAACAAAATTAATAAAAATAACAATTGGTAATCGATAAGAAATTACACAACACAATCATAATAAAAAGTACATAATCCTCATAAGAAATTAGTAAAAGCTCAATTGTAATAAGATATCTCTTTAGTCTCATCCAATACTTCAAAATTTTGTATTGCAATTACCAAACCTTCTAGTTCACTGATCAAAGTTCTTCGCATTATTTAACTTTTACCATAAAGATTTTGATTTTGATATCATAAATTTATTGTTTATTTGAAATTACATATAGAGCGGCATTTGAAAGATTCTATAAAAAATAAATAAAAATAAGGCATATCACAATAAAATCATGTTATTCCAATGACTTATCATGTTGAAACCAACGTTTAATTATAATCCATTTGCAAATAATGTATTACGCAGTAATGAATTATACCTGTAATATATTTCAAAGACAATATATTTCCAAGTATCCAAACCACCCGTTAGAGAACAAACACAGCCCATTCAAAACGCAGACCATTCAAAATTGATAGTAACCACTTGCAAATGGGAGTAACTTTATCTCTCCTTACAAATATATTTAGTATGCATTTGTGAATGGGTAGCTATCTTAACTTTGATCAAATAACTGAGTATAAACCTGCAACAATACAAACCTTCTTAGAACCGTTAATGCCTGTGACATTACTCCAAGTTCACTTTCAGTCATCCCGATCAAGATCATCCAAAGACGAAGTTTTCCCCCAATAAGAGAGACGGGGGGGGGGGGGGGGGGGAATTGATTGAAAGTTAACGAGCATAAAACCACATTTCTATTACAAGCATAAAACCACATTTCTATTACATCTTAACTAATACCACACTTAGCGTTTAGTGGGCAAGAGAGCCTGCGATACCCACTTGATATTTCCACTTCCAATCAAATCTCACATATTTACATGCCAAAAGAACAAGATTATCTTCCCCAACTTAACAATTTTACATCAGGGCAAAGAGCCCAAAAAACCCACTTCATTTAAAGGACACGTACTCTAAGGACTCGCATGGGTCTGCAACATTAATACCACATGCAGTTCACAAGACAGTTACACAACTGCCGATAATCCCAACCGTAAAACATCACAATGGAGTGTGAATGGCCCTTTGGGGTACCATAAACTGCACTCCACTGGAACACGGAACACCTCCTTTTCCTTCATCCTCGCAACCTGCGCAAGACAACCTGTGCTCCATACCGCGGCTGCACTGTGAGGAGCAGCATGGGTGCATGAACATAGGACGGAGAGACCTCAAAGGCAAAGCGACCCAAGAGCATGGCAAGAACAACTTTGGCTTCAACGATAGCCAAGCTTTGGCCTATACATGTTCGAGGCCCGAACCCAAATGGTATAAAGGCTGCAGGATGTTTTCGAGCAGCGGATGGTCCCTCTGAGAAGCGGTCAGGATTGAAGGTGTCAGTATCATCACCCCAGAGCTCAGGATCATGATGAAGGGCGGCTATAGGCAAGTATAGTTGTGTAGATTTAGGCAAGTGAAATTGCCCGAGTTTCAAATCTTCAGCAGTCTGGCGAAGGACCAAAGCGGCAGGAGGATAGAGTCGCAAGGTTTCATTCAAGATCATACCCACCTGTATAATGATGGTGACCACTAGATTAATCACAATTATGGTCACCAAGTTAGTCTCAACAACGAATCTTACGGGGACATTGTTAGGGTGACCGTTCTTTCAGGGAAAATAGCATTGAAGTGGTTGAACAATCATACATAATCAATAAGGTGGTCAAATCAACCAATTTATTAACAAAGTGATTACTTGTTAAGATCATATTACTTCAGTAAATCTTCAAATATTTCATTAAAAAATGCCCAAAACACCCCTATTTAGAACTTAAAATCATAAACAAGTTGGGTAAATGAGGTAGGTAATGTTAAGTAGACAGCCGACGTAAAACTTCGTCAAAACTTTCTATGTATTATGAATCTACATGGTTGAAAATAATGAGAAAAGAAATAGGGACCTTTAGCCTCATTGAGGGTATAGCTCTTGATAGAGCAGAACGACGGATCAAGATTTATGTAACCAACCCCAAATAGTTAGAAAAAGGCTCTGATAATGATGATGAATCGTGAATAAGCTGGATATTTTGGTAATTTATCTCGTAAATAAAGTAGGGGTGAATTACCAAAATGCCCTGTTTGTTTTGGATTGCAAACCTAAAACAAGAGATTTTAACAAAAAACCACGTGCTCCAAGTTTAGAACCTGAAACAACCAGTAGCAATTTTGTCATTTGGCTCGAGTCACTTGTGCCAAATGACATAAAAACTCCAACTTGTCTCATGATCCCAAATCCAAAACAAAGGCTTCTTCAGTATTTGACCACTTTGTTGATAAATTGGTCGATTTGAACAACCTTTGACTCTTCGTTTTTTCCAGTGGTTTGACCATTTGAGTGATATTTTTCTTTTTTTATTGGAAAATAAAATATAATTATATACGGATGTTATTAGGGAGAGCTTTTGGATTATATATAATGTCAATTTATTATTGGCCAAAAAGTATGGATCTTAAAAAAAGACGGAGCAAAAGATAAAGAGCTTAAATTTCACAAGTTTTCAAAATCATAAGAGCTCTAAGTATATTATAATAATTAACATTAAATTTAACCACTAATATTTCAATAGTACTTGTTTAAATTTTACCGTCGATGGGAAATTGGGGTTTCCTTGTATCGATTCTCCAGAGGCTTTATTAACAAAAATCATATATTTGTGATGATAATGGATCAGCTTAAAATAACACAATGAAAAGAAATTATTGAGATAAATACATGGACAATTCTAAAGTAATTTATTAGACTAATATTCCAAATAAAAAAACAGAGCTAATTGTTACCAGGAACACCACTAAAAAAAGAACTGTTAAGCTAATATATTTTTTCCACTACAGTCAAAATTAGATTTTGGTCAGTTGATTGCTGTGTCTCTCGATGAATGTTGAGTAGGTTAAGGAAACATTTCGTAAGGGGAGTAGCCTCCATAACTTAGTTGTGGGATACTTTATCTTAAAGACCAAAATTTCAATTTTATACTTACAATTTTGAGGTTGTTTAAGCTCTCTCCGACTGGACTTTCACCACAAACATTGAGCACTTCGTCACGGGCTTTGGTTTGCCATTCTGTGTGTACAGAAAGAAGGATGACAGCCCATGTCAAAAGATTCGCAGTGGTGTCCTTTCCAGCAAAGTAAAATGTCTTGCATTCATCCACGATGTCTTCAAGTCCCATCCTTTGATCTTCACTCCCTTGATCATGATTCGCAGATAACATAAGGCCCAATAGAGTTCCACAATTTTCTCTCTTGCCTCCTTTGTTGCTGATCAGTTGTCGCAGTGCTGATCTTATATCACTTTCCACTTTCCATCTCCTCCTATTCTTCTTAGTTGGCACAAACCTGTATGTTGGTTTTGTTTAAGACCTCATAATATCACTATTCAATTCATGTCATAAAACACTCATACAGAAGCAATACATTCCCCCCTTCTCTCCCTCTAAGAAAATAGAAAAAGAAAAAGAAAACAACACCATCTCGACAATAGTGAAAAGAATATCAGTCAAAATATAGTTTTCTAGAAAAGATACCTGAATCCGGGGATATATACACTGCGTAGACCTTCAGAAACCAAGAGCATTTGTTCCTCTTGCATTTTGAAGATGTTTTTGCCCTCTTCATAGCTGCTACCAAATGCTGTTCTTGAGATGACATCAGCTGTTAGCCTATGAAGCTCTTTGTATATTTCTATCTCACATTCATTGCCCCCAACAACTTGCTCCCATTCTTTTAACATGTTTGTGGTACTTGCGACTATCGTCGGGACCATTGCCTGAACAAAAAGTCCCAAAAAAGAGTTCTAAATATTTATAGAAAATAAATTAAGAAACATAGAAACTTCAACTAACTGAAAACTATAAAGACCACAAAATATCAGGTAAGCAGAGTATAAAAGAAAAGAAGAAATCAGTGCTTTTTAAACCCTCAAACATACAGAAACCAAATGGTCATAGATTTCTCTGTGGACTGTCCCAGATGAAATATAAGATTTGCTGCAACATGAATACAGCTATGTCGGAATCAATGTTGTGAACCAAATAAGTAATCTTTCAATATGTTCATAATTTAATGGAAGCAATGTAGGATTCAGTGGATCGCTTAATAGCTGTTGCCATCTTGAGCAAATGACTGAAATATTCGAGTTGCATTCAGGTGAAGCAACTAGGCAAGATGTTCTTGGATAGTGTTCGACACCCACTTCAAAGTAAAGAGCAAATTCTTTTTTTTTCCTTTTTGAGATCAAATAAAGGGTGAATTCATCCCAAACATGTCGCAGTTTTAGATTTACCTACTTTATAATTGCCTCAAAAACAAACCCATGATAAAGTTCTTGCATTGCCTTACGTAGATCAGGAAGGGAAGGAGTCACCTAGACAATCAACTTGGTTTCTCAATAAACCCATAAAGCCCCATCTACAAAATAATACTTCCATCCCATATCACAATTCGAATATTTTGAAAGCAGCCAATTCCACTCATCCATTAGTAGAGGCTGGTGCAAAGGGGTAGGGCCTGCCCTGACACAGGTCCACATGATATGTATGGGTGTGTGTATAGAAAACACCTAAAAACACTCTGAGCGAATTTCTAGAACATTTCGCTCATGGCTCATCACCATCCAAAATCCATCAGATGATCACAATTGACTGATAGTATTTGAATTTTAATAATTTTTCTACAACGTAGATTAACCGGAAATTTTGTGGGTATTTGCACCTTAGTGAGGCATGCCTAAATAAAATATTAAAAAATATATAAAATAATAAAAATGAACAAATTACCCTATAAATATTTCAGGGGCCTTTTTGTTATTCTATTTTTTGAGACTTATTAATATTTTATTTAAGTGCGAGTTGGTTAAATGTGTACACACTACAAATCTCAGATGACTCAGATTTGTAGAAAATTTGCTAATATTCAAACACCATCAAACAATTGTGACCATATGATGACCTTAAAAAAAGTGTATGAAAAATACAAGCATATATTCCCCAAAAACTAAGATACTTACATGCAAAAAGCTTTTACGACAAGTGGCATAAAAAGTCTAATCCTTCTATATATTAATTGAAACTGCACTAATACTATTTTTTATTTACTAATAAATTAATATATCTACTCATGGTTATTGTTACATGTAAAAAGCCTTTTCAACAACTGGCATAAAAAGTCTAATCCTTCCATATATTAATTAAAATTGAATTAATACTATTTTTGGTTTGGTATTAATTCAGCTAAATGAGGGTGTTGGTCAAGGCGATGCCTAGGCGCCCGCCTTTTACGCCGCCCAAGCAGGCGACTAGATGGATCCGCCCAAAGCATGCCGCCTTGCCCACGACTAGGCGGTTTAGAAAAAAGCCGCCCAAGGCATCTGAATTTTCGTTCACTATATGTCATCTTTTGGGGAATATATGGCTTGTATTTTTCATACACTTTTTTTAAGGAAACTTATTGGTGAAATTTTTTGTTAAATCAAGATTCTTAATTTACTCCCCACCGTTAATGTGCTTCTCATTAAACCAAAATTTAATAATATTAAGTTAATGAAGAAATGAAGTAAGGCAAGAAATGACATAATATCGCAACATTGATGACCTCCCGGCATTGGCTCGGAGGCGAGGACCCCACGGCCCCGAGGAAAGAGAATTGGCGGCCGCAACAAAAAGGGGTGCGACACAAAGACTTCCCAAGAGGTCACCCATCCTAGTACTACTCTTGCCCAAGCACGCTTAACTTCGGAGTTCTGATGGGATTCCGGTGCATTCGTGCTGGTATGACCGCACCCCTCATGGAGAGGGCTGGCAAGAAATGACATAATATCGCAACATTGATGGCCTCCCGGCATTGGCTCGGAGGCGAGGACCCCACGGCCCGAGGGCTCACGGATGTATGGGGAGCGGCGGGAAGAAGTTTTTTTCAAAAAGTTTTGTGAAAAATGATAAAAATACAGATTTACATCAGTTCCATTACACATGATTTTTTGAAGATCTTTTGAAAAACTCGGAGTACTTAACGAATTTCAAGAATCAGAGATTTTTGAAAACATTGTGTTTCAAATGGAGACTTGCTAACTACGGTTAAGACTTGGGAACCAGGAACTCGTCCTTTTATTGGATATGCATGTTTTGGTTACTAACTATAAACAAGGGATAATTTAGTTAAGGGGCCTGAGCACAATTAGCCCCTCTTTGTTCAGGTATGAAACTCATTGTCTTTCACTGGAAACCCTGGTTTTGAGTTCTAATTCCCCATCTTATGGGTCGGCCAAATTATTGAAATGGCCATCCTTGTTTAGGCTTCGATAATAGAAAAACAAAATTTGAGTACTTTTAAATATAGAAGTTTATAAGAAATTAAATGAAAATTATAACGAGGCGGTTAGCATGTGGCCAGCCCGCATATTGTAGAAACGCGGGCTTGGCAATAAATATATTTTTAAATATAATTTGATCCTAATTTTTAGATAATATATAATCTTTAACATGGAGATCATGAATATGAAAAATAAATAAATTTTGAACACTAAAACTAATAATTATATTAAGAAAAAATTTGAACAGTTACTTACAATTGTTTTTAGATGAACCACCTATTTGGATCCATCTTTAAGATGGATGCTTTATATATCTGGACAGCATTCTGTAAAATGTGCAGCCCATATGAAACAATTGTTCAAATTATAAAGTGATAATTCTAATGTGAAATCAGATGATTTGACCCCCATATTTATTAATTATTGGACAAGGTAAATCATCCCTTAATTATTAATTATTGGACAAGGCTTCTATGAGTCTAGGTCTCTAGGATTCATATGTAGATATGTATCGCCACTTCATGATCTATTTTTCAGAAGGATTTTGTACGTAATGTTTTAGGTATATATAATCTATGGAGATCACTAGTAATTTAATATGTAAAGGGTGTGGTTTCTATAAGGTTGCAACCTTAAACAATCCAATTAAGGCACACCTCCAAATTTTATCGTAACACGTAATTTTGGTACAAAAAGTTATTAGGATTATCTAAAAATCTATTTTCGTATCTATTTATAAAATTTTAAACTCCAAAAATTGTTAAAATCAAGTAGAGCTATAAACATATGAAAATTTTGAAATAGACCGTCCAAATAATGTGTTGCGAGATGACTATTTTTTAGACTCAAAATCTTTTTTTTTTTCATATTCCTACATCTGGATGTCCATATGATCAATTAAGAGGGTTTTAGGCGCATCTCTAATTCCACATTTTAAGGTTGCAACCTTATATAAACTTTTTCTATATGTAAAATAGTAAATTTACAATTTTTGGGGAAAAAAAATTCAGGCCATTGGTTTTTATCTTTTTTGGAGGGGGACTACCGCTCGCCATCCATCTTTAAAGTGGATATGTGATGCCCCAGGAGGCGCAAATGTAGTAATGAATCCCCCAATGCATAAAGAACTTTTCCTTAATTATTTTGACAATGTTTCCATGGTAAAATACATCATGCACAAAAGGGTGAAAGAGAAACTGAATTAAATTGAAAGAGCAAGAAATACCTTGACTTGATCCATGTGGAAAGCAGGATTTATCATCTTTCTGTGCAAACTCCATTTTTGCCCCTTCAAGCCCACAAGCCCTTGGCCCACCAAATGCCTTGACAAAGGGCTAAAATCGAGCTTTTCAAAAGGACCCCCTGTTTTTAAGAGAACCTCTCTTACAAGCTCTGGCTCTCCAATGGCCAGCCTTGGCTTGGACCCAAACCAGTACAGAAAGGTTTTCCCTGTCATAAGAAACCCGAACTTTATCAACAAAAGCCATGTTCATTTATTCAGAACCCTAAAATTTCATCTGTGAAATGGCTTAGGGTTTTTCTGAAACCAAAATTTCATTGGGATTTGGTAAAACCCTAGATTCCATAAGAACACAAGCCATTTTATTGAACTCGAGAGTTTCAGTTACAAAATGACTTGGGCTTTGCCTGAAACCTAGTCTCTCAAAACCCTCTCTCTCTCTTACTCTGTTTCTCTCACCAAAACCCACTTTGAATCCCCCTTCTCTGTCTCTTACCATAAACAGGGGACCAGTGGTGATATTGAGGCGCAACCATTGGGAGAATGTGGTGAGAGAAAGAGATGGGGTGGGATTCGGCATCCTTGTAAAATTTAACAATTTGGGGGGCGTTTCCAAAGGGTGGCCTATAACCAGGCCCTGAGATCCCTTGCCTTCTAAACTCGGATTCGAGCTTAAAAGGACACCAGAGATAAACGTATATACATTTGATTATTATAGTGAAAGAGAATAGAGAGAGAAGCAAAGCCAAGATTACAAACACCATTTTTGAGAGAGAGAGAGAGAGGGGGGGGGGGGACAAAGCAAGTAGTACAAAAACTACTTGAAGAGAGTACAAAAAAAAAATTGTAGAAACTAGAGAGAGAAAGGGGGTTTAAGAGAGAAAGAGGGTTAATTAAACATTACAAAAACCTTTTGAGGGAAGTTCTGGTTATAGACGAGAGAGAAAAAGCAAAGCAAATATTACAAAAACCATTGTGGAAACTTGAATAGGAGAGGGCTTTTAGAGAGAGAAATCAAATATTACAAGAACCATGGCATATTACAGAAACCACTGTAGAGATATGAAGCGAAAATGGTATAAAGAGTGAGGGAAAGAATTTTAGAAAGAGAGATGGAGAAAGAGGGGCAGGAGTCCAAAAGTAGAGTTGAGGTTCGCACTTGCAAAGATCAAAAAACCCCTTTGTATGGATTTGAAGAGAGAATGGTAGTGAGTGAGGATGAGTTTTATAGAGAGGGAAAGAGGGAAGAGAATTAGGAGTTTAAAATTGGATTTTGGGCTCACACTCTGCAACAAGATAAATGCCATCACAACGGGACTTTGATATTAAGAGTGAGTAAATAAAGTGTGAAAAGAGGAAGAAAAATGGACAAGAATGCACTATTTTTCATTTCTTATTAAAATGGTTTTCAATAAGGTTTCAATGAAGTCAACAGAGAGGACCAAGTAAAACTATTGCAGGGCTGATACAGGCCTGCACTTGGGCGGGCCTCCCGTGGCCTGGTACCTAATGGGCAGGCCCTGCCCAGATTAGACCCGGGCTGCGCTGGCCCTTCTACCTAATGGGCAGGCCCTGCCCGGACTAAATCGAACCAACGAGGCGCTACCCTAAGCCTATCCCGGACTAAATCGGACCAACGAGGCCCTAGCCTAAGCCTATCCCAGACTAAATCGGACCAACAAGGCCCTAGCCTAAGCCTATCCCTGGGCCAAATAAAGTGAAAAAAAAACAAAAGGAAAATTTTACCAAAAAGAGGGTTGGGGCAGGCCAGGCCAGGCCGGGCCGGCATTGACCCACACCCGGCCCGACCCTACTCTCAAGATGTTTATGCCCCCCTATACCTGCCCTTGGGTCACATTTTGTGGCTTAGGCCGTAGCTTTTAAAGAGAGAGGGGAAACTTTCCCTAGTTTTTAGGGAGAGAGAGGAAACTTACTCGGATAAAAAGCTTGCAAAGTCTAACAAGGAACCAGAATGGTAACTATAGTCTTCATACCAAAAATGAGTCAATATCTATCTACTATACGTTAAGCGAGTCTCTAACTTTTTTTCATTCTAATTTCGGCCTAATTGTGATTTACAATCAATATACCAATCAATTATAGATATCTGGACGCTATCAAATTTTGAACACCCTTTTCAAAGCTTAGGTAATAAAGTGAATTTCTTTTATTGATTGTAGTATGATACTCTACTTATTTCTGTCGTATGCCATTTAACCTAATTATATTTTATTGACTAAATATATAAATTTAATTTATTGTGTAAATAAATAAATAAAAATAAAAATATCATTTGACTTGAGCAATTGTGGTTGAGTAATTTGAATAATAATAATAGTATTTTCTCATTGTTGTGGTTTTATGACAATTAATCATAGATCTCTTGACGCTGTCCAATTTTGAACACCTTTTTAAAATGTTAGGTAACAAAATGAATTTCTTTTATTGATTGTAGTTTGGTACTATATTTATTTGCGTTGTTTTCCATTTAACCTAATTATGTTTTATTTATTAAATTTATAAATTTAATTTATTGTGTAACTCATAAATAAAGAAAAATATCGTTTGGCTTGAGTAATTTGAATAATGATACTAGTGTTCTCTAATTGTTGTGTTTATTTTCATAACTATAGTGTTGTATACAATTATGACAATTATATATTTTAATTAATCAATTAGCAGAATATTAATTTAATAATAATAATTAACTACAATAGTATAATGACACTTACATAATTATTGAAACTTTATAATATTTTCAATTTATTTAAAAATTTATAATTTTATTAGTGGATATCATGATAATTAAGTTGTATTATCAATAAATTATACTTGCATAAATTTATTGATAATAAATAAAAAATTTCAATTTTTACGTCTTTTATATCCGTTAATAATATTTGTCAATAATAATTAACATGGTGATAATTAATCATTTTGATTATATTAATTATAATTCATCACTATTTTAATTTTCACAATAAAATAACTATAATTATTATTATAAATAACAAGAGTATAATTGTAATATTTTATTGAATATTATATTTATTACACAAATAATTGCAGCTATAGATTGTAT